CAATAAGTTTTATTAAATATATATTTAAAATAGGTCAGTACGGTATAGTATATTTCATATGGTCAGCAAAAAAAACTCATAAAGTTCAATAATAATGCATAAAAATGGTACATGAAATACTGAATTATAAAATGTATAATAAACATTATACCTAAAAGGCTAAAATACTAGAATAGAATAGAATAGAATTCACAATGACAAAATAGTATTGATGTAGATAAAACAGAGGTGTTGTCCACCACATCCATTCATACAAGAAAAAATATATCAGGGCAAAAAAAGGAGTGATCTCAGGGTACTGTAAATGCACATTAGCTGTCATCGATAAAGCAATTCAAATCAAATTCAATGTTAAGACCTTTTGGGTGTAAGGATCCAAGGTCATATATCCACTTGGACTCTAATTGTGAGATAGCTCTTTTCTTATTTTGGCCTCTCCAATGTGCATTTATCATTCCTATACCCATGAAAATTAATGACGAGGGATCTTGGTTATGATGCGTTTTATAGTGCAGGGATAGCGAATGGTCCTTATAGCCCTTTCTAATATTGTTCACATGTTCTTTTAAACGGTCCCTCAATCGTCTAGTTGTTCGTATACCAATATATTGTAAATGACAGGGACACTGCATTAGGTAAACAACATATTTACTTGTGCAGGTAATACAATCATCAATCTTGAAGGTTTTACCATTTGCTGTAGAGTTAAAACTTGTGTGTCTGCTTGTAAACTTGCTGTTAGTGCAGATCATACACTTTTTTACATGGGTAAAAACCTTTAATTTGTGGGAAGAAAGGAGTGTATACAGGGGGATCAAGAACATTTGGGGCTATTCTATTCCCAAGGGGGTGGCTTTCCTAAAGCAATCTGCGGTTGATCTGGTAAAAATTGTCTTAAAACTGGATCTGACATCAGAATCTTCCAATTGTTGCGAATTATCCTGGTAACTGATTTGTATTGGGTTGAATAGTTTGTCACAAAAGGACAAACTCTTTCAGGTCTCTTATTAATATTCTTTTGCAACATCACATCTCTGTTGGAGATGCCTACTTCTGTCATGGTTTGTGTTAAAGTGTTTTCATCATAACCTTTCTCAAGGAACTTGGTTTTAATGATGGCAGCCTGTTTATAGTATGTATTGACATCAGTACAATTGCGTCTGATTCTGGTAAACTGTCCCTTAGGTATATATTTTGTAACCATGCCGGGTGGTGGCAGCTTTCCAAGGGAATGTAACTGTTTCTGTCAGTTTTCTTGAAGAATGACTCAGTTATGATTCTTCCTTCCACATTTAGCAAAGTCAGATCCAGAAAATTGATACTCTCATGACTATAATTAAAAGTAAGGTTAATGTTAAGAGAGTTAAAAAATTTAAAGTAGTAAAAAAATTTAAAAGTGATTCTTCATTGCCATTCCATATGAGGAGGATGTCATCTATATATCTCCTGTAAAAGGAGAGTTCAGGCCAATCTCTGGCATAGATGACATCCTCCTCCCATCTGGCCATAAACAGATTTGCTAGGCTGGGGGCGAATTTCGCCCCCATAGCCACACCCTTATCTCCCTTATTCTGTAGATAAAATTGCTGGTTGAACCAAAAATGGTTCTTAGTCATTGCGAATTCCAAAAGTGTTAAAATAAAGTCCTTCTGTAAAACTGGAATGTCACTAAAATCATCTAAGAAAAATCTCACCGCTTCCATACCGTCCAAGTGGTTTATATTTGTATACAGGGAGGCTACATCAGCTGTAACCAAGAATGTGTCCAAGTTAGTGGATAAATCTTTAATATCAAAAAGAACCTGCTTGGTGTCCTTGAGGTATGCCGGTGTTTTCATCACGAGTGGCTGTAGGAAATGATCTATATATTTGCCTATTCTAGCCGTTAGAGATCCTATGCCACTTATTATTGGCCTCCCTTCTTTTTTACTTATGATATTGTCCTCATATCCCTTTTTAATTATAGACTTGAGTTCTTTCTTATATTGAACTACTGGATTTTTGGATTACAGTGAGTATGTGTCTCTATCACTGAGGATATTTAAAGCCTCTTTAATGTAATCACTTTTATTGAGGACAACAACTCCTCCCCCTTTGTCCGCGGGGCGGATCACGAGGTCTTTCTTCTCTAATAAAGAATCTATAGCCCTGCGATTAGCGTCATGTTTGTTGATATCCTTTGTTTTTATAGTCTCTAAATCACGCAAAACTGTATCCCTAAAGGCGTTGATATAGGTGTTATTTTGTGGTGGAGGATTAAACAGGGATGGATTATGAAGGTTAGAGTTAATGAATTACCTTCATTAGAGGGTATTGAGGGTTTGTTGAAAAAAATATTTTTCAAAGATAATTGCCTAACATATTTTCTAATGTCAACATATGTTTGAAACTTGTTGAGCGGTTTTTTAGGCGCAAATTTTAATCCTTTATTTAATAATTTGATCTCTTGGGTGGTCAAAACTTTATTACTGAGGTTGAAAATCCCCATGTCATTTACATCTTTCTTTTCTTGAGATTTGTTGACCCTCTTACCTCCCCGTTTGCCTCTTCGGTGGCACCTCTTTTTTGTGCCTTGTTCTCTCCTAAAAAATTAGGCTGCGGATAATTTCTATTGGGCTGTTCCACAAGAGTTTGTTGTGTCTGTGTCATTCTGTAATCAGGTCTATTAGACTGTGGTGCTGGTCCATAATTCATATTTCTCCACGTAGAGTGGTGGTTAGAATTTCTCATGTTGTTCCTAGGTGAAGAGTAAGGTCTATTATTGTAGTATACCTGTTGGGCTTGTGTAGGTTTAGAATATTGACGATTCTGATTGTGATTGTAATTATAATTATTTTGATAGTTATTGCGGTATTCAGGTCTAGGGTGCCAGTCTAGATTCCGTGTTCCTATATTATTAGCACCTTCTGATAATAAGGGGGCGTAACCATTCTGAATAGGGATGTTATACTGGTAATCAAGTCTGGCAGGTGATTGACCCTGATTGTTAAATCTAGACGATGGGCCCCTTTGTTGCCAAGGGTTTTTTTTTTAGGTTTTGTTGGGATAATAGGTGTTATTTGGCTTAGGAGGAATTTGTGTAGAGGTTACTTCCTCTTGTTTATACTGCCATTTAAACACCTGTTCATTTTGGTAATCCTCAACATCTCTAATGTATTTCTTTCTCTTTTTGATTTTTTGTTCCTTTTCTATGTTCTCCATATGGATTCGCAGTTTGTTAGTCTCTGCTTTATATTCCTCACTATCTTTTGAAAGGTGTGAGTTTCTCTCTGACCTTGTTTATTTCATCGTCTAGGTATTGTAGTTTTTTCTGTTTCCTTAAGACCAAGAAACGTAACAACTCAAGACCAACTTTATTAAAAAATTGATACCAGTCCCCAGTTCCATTTGTATCCTCAAATTCTGGGGATACTTCCCACCTCAAAGATCTTGGGACCATCCCTTCCTTGATGTATTTCTCCAGGAAGGAGATGTCCATAGAGCTCTAATTTCAGCTGATGTGAGATTTTGTAAATGTGTAAATGTACTTATGAGGTTATCTGTTGGGTGATCCGTGGTAAATACTTCATCAGAGATTTTACCACGCATTGATCTTATCTCAAATATGTCTGCCTGTTAGGAATGGACTGGCCAGCAATGGTGGGACTCACCTGCCTTTTGATCTGCAGTACCAGGGCTGGCCAGCGGGTGCTCCCAGCAATCAGAGACTCAACCTTTCAGCCAGCTAACACCTGGAACTGATGATACTGGGGTATTTAAGGGATGGCCAGACTTGCAGACTCTGCCTTGGTGTTGTGTTTGTCCTGGGCCCTGTATCTGTCCTGCATCCTGTTTCTGTTCCTTCGCTGACCCTGATCTGAACTGCTGCTGACTTCTCCTGCTCTGATCCTGGCTTGTGACCCTGACCACCCCTCTGTCTGACCCTCTGTACCTCGCTGCTTGCTACCTGCTGAACCTGGCCTGTGACCCCGACCATTCTCTGCTTGCTCCCCCCGTACCTACCTGCCCAATTGATATTGACCCGGCCTGCCTGACGACGCTTGCTTGTATGTACTGTTAGCTGTGGGTGGTCGGTTTGGTTTGTTTGCACTGTAGTATGTTTAGTATTGCCCTGCGTTTATGTTTGTACTGTTAGTGTTAATAAATTATATTGTTTATCACATTTCTGAAGTCTGCGTTTCCCTGCATCAGTCACACACCTCTGGTCATACCTGGGAGCCCTGACATTACACCAAGGCCAATCCTGACCAGAAGTGGCTGCACAGGGAAGCCATCTTGGTTTGTTGATGGGAAGGATGGATCTGGATGAGGTTGAGTATTTATATCTGCTAGTGTTTGATGACAGGGAGTATGCTTATCAAACTCTGAAGGAGTATACCCGGGATGAATTGCTAGAATGTATACGGCTCGCTCATGTTCTAGTAGATCAGGGCACAGAGTTCTCTGAGGTGCAGCCATTGATTGAGGTTTGTGCAGAGTTGGTTTCATCTGGTTCCCCCAAATGCAGGGATGAATTTTTGCCACCATTTAGTGCAGACCAGGTAGAGTCCCTGGTGTGGTTATTAGAGGATGATGTGGGTTACCTTTTGGAGCGTTACTCCACATGTTCACCACAGACACTAAGAGATTGTATCAACGCAGTGCAGTCATTGACCAGACAGGCTTTGTGTAAGCTCAGCTTTGTTCAACCCCTACTGCAGACATGGACAGACTTGTTGCACCCAGCCTCAGTCAGCTTACAAAGACCCAGTCCTGCTTCTAACTCTACTCCTGTATTCCCACCAGCTCCTCCTGCCCTGCTATCTACCGCATGTCAGTCCCCTGTTCCCACTCGCTGCACCTATCCTGCCTTTAACCCTGTAAAAAGAGCCCCCTGTAGCAACTGCTCCCTCTCCTGTTCCATCCTCCAGTTTTTCTCTGTCTCCAGGTGCTCCATTCGTTTGCAGACCTGCGTTTACTTGCAGTGCTCCAGTAGTTAAAACCAGAAAAAAGCGAAAATTCTTTCCAACCAATACCATCCTGCAGTATCCAAACCGGTGAGCCTGCCTTCCGTGACTCGGCCTGAAGCCTCTACTCAGCCTGAAGCCTCTACTCAGCCTGAAGCCTCTCTCTACGCGGCCGGATGCCTCTCTTCAGCCTGATGCCTCTCTTCAGCCTGATGCCTCTCTTCAGCCTGATGCCTCTCCTCAGCCTGATGCCTGCATTCAGCCTGATGCCGCTACTCAGCATGATGAACTGATCCAGCCCGACGATCCTATTAGGCCAGTTGACTCGATGCCCCGCTGTTGATCCAGATGATCCGGTACCTGATCCAGTGCCCGCTGTCGTGCCAATTGACTCAAGAGCCCGCTGTCATACCTGGTGACCCGGTGCCCACTGCCTTGCCAGATGACGCGGTGCCCGCTGGCAAGCCAAATGACCTGATGCCTGGTGACCCAGTGCCCGCTGTCATACCTGGTGACCCGATGCCCGCTGTCGAGCCAGACGATCCAATGCCTGGTGACCCCGGTGCCCACTGCCTTGCCAGATGACGCGGTGCCCGCTGTCGAGCCAAATGACCTGATGCCTGGTGACCCAGTGCCCGCTGTCCAGTCAGACGATCCAATGTCTGACCCAGTGCCCGCGGTCATACCAGTTGACTTGGAGCCCACTGCCTTGCCAGATGACGCGGTGCCCGCTGTCGAGCCAAATGACCTGATGCCTGGTGACCCAGTGCCCGCTGTCCAGTCAGACGATCCAATGTCTGACCCAGTGCCCGCGTCGTCATACCAGTTGACTCGGAGGCCGCACTGCCTTGCCGGATGACGCGGTGCCCGCTGTCGAGCCAAATGACCTGATGCCTGGTGACCCAGTGCCCGCTGTCCAGTCAGACGATCCAATGTCTGACCCAGTGCCCGCGGTCATACCAGTTGACTTGGAGCCCACTGCCTTGCCAGATGACGCGGTGCCCCGCTGTCGAGCCAAATGACCTGATGCCTGGTGACCCGATGCCCACTGTCCAGCCAGACCATACAATGTCTGACCCAGTGCCTGCGGTCATACCTGTTGACTCGGAGCCCACTGCCTTGCCAGATGACGCGGTGCCCGCGGTCGAGCCAAATGACCTGATGCCTGGTGACCCGATGCCCGCTGTCCGGTCAGACGATCCAATGTCTGACCCAGTGCCCGCGGTCATACCAGTTGACTCGGAGCCCACTGCCTTGCCAGATGACGCGGTGCCCGCTGTCGAGCCAAATGACCTGATGCCTGGTGACCCCGATGCCCGCTGTCCAGCCAGACCATACAATGTCTGACCCAGTGCCTGCGGTCATACCAGTTGACTCGGAGCCCACTGTCGTGCCTGGTGACTCGGTGCCCGCCGCTCCGCCTGGGGGCCCGAGACCTGTTGCTCCGCTTGGGGGTCCAGCGCCCGCCGCTCCGCCTGGGGATCCGGCGCCCGCCGCCCCGCCTGGGGGCCTGAGACCTGTCGCTCCGCCTGAGGGTCCGAGACCTGTCGCTCCACCTGGGGGTCCGGCGCCCGCCGCTCCGCCTGAGGGCCCGAGACCTGTCGCTCCATCTGGGGGGTCCGGCGCCCGCCGCTCCGCCTGAGGGCCCGAGACCTGTCGCTCCACCTGGGGGTCCGGCGCCCGCCGCTCCGCCTGAGGGCCCGAGACCTGTCGCTCCACCTGGGGTCCGGCGCCCGCCGCTCCGCCTGAGGGCCCGAGACCTGTCGCTCCATCTGGGGGTCCGGCGCCCGCCGCTCCGCCTGAGGGCCCGAGACCTGTCGCTCCATCTGGGGGTCCGGCGCCCGCCCGCCGCTCCGCCTGAGGGCCCGAGACCTGTCGCTCCTCCTGGGGGGTCCGGCGCCCCGCCCGCTCCGCCTATGGGCCCGAGACCTGTCGCTCCGCCTGGGGGTCCGGCGCCCGCCGCTCCGCCTGAGGGCCCGAGACCTGTCGCTCCACCTGGGGGGTCCGGCGCCCGCCGCTCCGCCTGAGGGCCCGAGACCTGTCGCTCCTCCTGGGGGTCCGGCGCCCGCCGCTCCGCCTGAGGGCCCGAGACCTGTCGCTCCGCCTGGGGGTCCGGCGCCCGCCGCTCCGCCTGAGGGCCCGAGACCTGTCGCTCCGCCTGGGGGTCCGGCGCCCGCCGCTCCGCCTGGGGGCACGATGCCTGTCGCCCCGCCTGGGGGCACGGTGCCTGTCCGCCCCGCCTGGGGGCACGGTGCCTGTCGCCCCGCCTGGGGGCACGGTGCCTGTCGCCCCGCCCTGGGGGCACGGTGCCTGTCGCCCCGCCTGGGGGCCCGGTGCCTGTCTGCCCGCCCCGCCCGGGGGCCCGGTGCCTGCCGCTCCCGCCCGGGGGCCCGGTGCCTGCCGCTCCGCCCGGGGGCCCGGTGCCTGCCGCTCCGCCCGGGGGGGCCCGGTGCCTGTCGCCCCGCCCGGGGGGCCCGGTGCCTGTCGCGCCCCGCCCGGGGGCCCGGTGCCTGTCGCCCCGCCCGGGGGCCCGGTGCCTGTCGCCCCGCCCGGGGGGGCCCGGTGCCTGCTGCTCGCCGCCTGGTGGCCCGCTGCCTGCTGCTTCGCCTGGTAATCCGATGTGCCTCTGCCCGGAGTCCTGCCCGATGTGCCTCTGCCCGGAGTCCTGCCCGATGTGCCTCTGCCCGGAATCCTGCCCGATGTGCCTCTGCCCGGAGTCCTGCCCGATGTGCCTCTGCCCGATGTGCCTCTGCCCGGAGTCCTGCCCGATGTGCCTCTGCCCGATGTGCCTCTGCCCGGAGTCCTGCCCGATGTGCCTCTGCCCGGAGTCCTGCCCGATGTGCCTCTGCCCGGAGTCCTGCCCGATGTGCCTCTGCCCGATGTGCCTCTGCCCGATGTGCCTCTGCCCGGAGTCCTGCCCGATGTGCCTCTGCCCGGAGTCCTGCCCGATGTGCCTCTGCCGGAGTCCTGCCCGATGTGCCTCTGCCCGATGTGCCTCTGCCCGGAGTCCTGCCCGATGTGCCTCTGCCCGGTGTGCCTCTGCCCGGAGTGCCTCTGCTCGATGTGCCGCTGCCCGGAGTCCAGCCCGGTGTGCCGCTGCCCGGAGTCCTGCCCGGTGTGCCAGTCTTTGCTATCCCGCCAGTTGCCAGACCTGGGCGGTGGAACATTTTGCCCCAGCTAGGACTGTTTGGAGCGTCCTGAGGCCGCTCCTTGAGGGGGGGGGTACTGTTAGGAATGACTGGCCAGCAATGGTGGGACTCACCTGCCTTTTGATCTGCAGTACCAGGGCTGGCCAGCGGGTGCTCCCAGCAATCAGAGACTCAACCTTTCAGCCAGCTAACACCTGGAACTGATGATACTGGGGTATTTAAGGGATGGCCAGACTTGCAGACTCTGCCTTGGTGTTGTGTTTGTCCTGGGCCCTGTATCTGTCCTGCATCCTGTTTCTGTTCCTTCGCTGACCCTGATCTGAACTGCTGCTGACTTCTCCTGCTCTGATCCTGGCTTGTGACCCTGACCCACCCCTCTGTCTGACCCTCTGTACCTCGCTGCTTGCTACCTGCTGAACCTGGCCTGTGACCCCGACCATTCTCTGCTTGCTCCCCCCGTACCTACCTGCCCAATTGATATTGACCCGGCCTGCCTGACGACGCTTGCTTGTATGTACTGTTAGCTGTGGGTGGTCGGTTTGGTTTGTTTGCACTGTAGTATGTTTAGTATTGCCCTGCGTTTATGTTTGTACTGTTAGTGTTAATAAATTATATTGTTTATCACATTTCTGAAGTCTGCGTTTCCCTGCATCAGTCACACACCTCTGGTCATACCTGGGAGCCCTGACACTGCCATTATGGTAACCTTATGTAGCTGCTCAAGCTCAATCTTGGTAAACAAACATGTGAAAAAAGTATAGCGAGTGCTACAGGCACAAGAGCACAAGCAGCTAGAACACCAAAAAGGCAACCAATCCTCCTTGCAATAGTCAATAATAATAGAGTAGGTGCAGCGCTAAAAATAAAATATAAATATAAATATTTCTCTATAGAATAAATATATAAATATCAGTGGTCAAAACAGATATGCCACAGAAGTGAATAGTGCATTGAGTCTATAAAGAGTGCTGAGAGCACACAAAAAGTCCTCGTCCCAGGGTGATGGTAGTATAAGGTAAAGGAAATCCTGGAAAACAGATAGAGTGCGCACTCACCAGAAGTGCGTTAAACTAACGCATATAAGGAAGTAGCTGCTGCAAGATCTCTCCAGCATCAGGGCTCTGGTCAGGTCGCACTGCGTCCTATCCTCTGTCCCACCGCAAGGAGAGGTGGCCAAGTAGCATCCGAATGTGTGAGCGTCAGGGAACTCCTTGGTCCAAAGAAGTACTGTGGGAGATGGTGCTCTCAGAGAGAGCCCAATGAAGGACGCCACATGGTGTAATACTGTTTGACTTGCGTTTAATAGTCAAAAAGGGGGTAAACAAAAAAGAGTACTGACCATAGATAGTTGGCCACATACAGTGGCTAGATGTCCATGAGCTGTAGCCCCCCCTGACGCGTTTCGTGCGATGCACGTCCTCAGAGGGTCAGGGCTTACAGCAGGACATCATTACTCATCTATTTATATGGAGAAATGGCAATCGCGCTAGTCGCGGCGGCCATTTTGCCGGCATCTCGCGCATGCGCAGCAGATCGGCGCCATTTTGCCGAAGATCGTTACGAGGGGAATACACTGGAATAAACTAATCCTCCTAGTGACCTGATGTATATGTGTGTATCCAGGCAGGCGCCATGATATAGGTGGGGAAAGAGAAACAAACAACTTTGTCAGACAGCAAATGAACTGCTGACAAAACTAACTATAGATTGGCCTGAACTCTCCTTTTACAGGAGATATATAGATGACATCCTCCTCATATGGAATGGCAATGAAGAATCACTTTTAAATTTTTTTACTACTTTAAATTTTAACTCTCTTAACATTAACCTTACTTTTAATTATAGTCATGAGAGTATCAATTTTCTGGATCTGACTTTGCTAAATGTGGAAGGAAGAATCATAACTGAGTCATTCTTCAAGAAAACTGACAGAAACAGTTACATTCCCTTGGAAAGCTGCCACCACCCGGCATGGTTACAAAATATACCTAAGGGACAGTTTACCAGAATCAGACGCAATTGTACTGATGTCAATACATACTATAAACAGGCTGCCATCATTAAAACCAAGTTCCTTGAGAAAGGTTATGATGAAAACACTTTAACACAAACCATGACAGAAGTAGGCATCTCCAACAGAGATGTGATGTTGCAAAAGAATATTAATAAGAGACCTGAAAGAGTTTGTCCTTTTGTGACAAAACTATTCAACCCAATACAAATCAGTTACCAGGATAATTCGCAACAATTGGAAGATTCTGATGTCAGATCCAGTTTTAAGACAATTTTTACCAGATCAACCGCAGATTGCTTTTTTAGGAAAGCCACCCCCCTTGGGAATAGAATAGCCCCAAATGTTCTTGATCCCCCTGTATACACTCCTTTCTTCCCACAAATTAAAGGTTTTTACCCATGTAAAAAGTGTATGATCTGCACTAACAGCAAGTTTACAAGCAGACACACAAGTTTTAACTCTACAGCAAATGGTAAAACCTTCAAGATTGATGATTGTATTACCTGCACAAGTAAATATGTTGTTTACCTAATGCAGTGTCCCTGTCATTTACAATATATTGGACGAACAACTAGACGATTGAGGGACCGTTTAAAAGAACATGTGAACAATATTAGAAAGGGCTATAAGGACCATTCGCTATCCCTGCACTATAAAACGCATCATAACCAAGATCCCTCGTCATTAATTTTCATGGGTATAGGAATGATAAATGCACATTGGAGAGGCCAAAATAAGAAAAGAGCTATCTCACAATTAGAGTCCAAGTGGATATATGACCTTGGATCCTTACACCCAAAAGGTCTTAACATTGAATTTGATTTGAATTGCTTTATCGATGACAGCTAATGTGCATTTACAGTACCCTGAGATCACTCCTTTTTTTGCCCTGATATATTTTTTCTTGTATGAATGGATGTGGTGGACAACACCTCTGTTTTATCTACATCAATACTATTTTGTCATTGTGAATTCTATTCTATTCTATTCTAGTATTTTAGCCTTTTAGGTATAATAATGTTTATTATACATTTTATAATTCAGTATTTCATGTACCATTTTTATGCATTATTATTGAACTTTATGAGTTTTTTTTTGCTGACCATATGAAATATACTATACCGTACTGACCTATTTTAAATATATATTTAATAAAACTTATTGAATTTTAAATGTATTGATACTCATCTATTTACTGCAGTAGAAATGGCTATCGCACAACTTCTTTACAATCGTTTACATTTATAATTTTTCATTATTATGATTTCCTTATTTTCATTTTTGCTGAACCAAAGTAACAGTAAAACAATGGAGCAATCCCCTGTAATTTTACACTATGTAAATTTTATAATTAGCATTTACATACATATACATATAGTATTTTATTACATGCCACCAAATTATCCAGTTCCATGTGGATATGTTCATCCTGGTGTGCAGTCAATGTCATTGGATAAGTACAATGCTCCTTTTTGTACCACGATTTATGTTCATTATAGTTAGTTTTGTCAGCAGTTCATTTGCTGTCTGACAAAGTTGTTTGTTTCTCTTTCCCCACCTATATCATGGCGCCTGCCTGGGATACACCATATACATCAGGTCACTAGGAGGATTAGTTTATTCCAGTGTATTCCCTCGTAACGATCTTCGGCAAAATGGCGCCGATCTACTGCGCATGCGCGAGACGCCGGCAAAATGGCCGCCGCGACTAGCGCGATTGCCATTTCTCCATATAAATAGATGAGTAATGATGTCCTGCTGTAAGCCCTGACCCTCTGAGGACGTGCATCGCACGAAACGCGTCAGGGGGGGCTACAGCTCATGGACATCTAGCCACTGTATGTGGCCAACTATCTATGGTCAGTACTCTTTTTTGTTTACCCCCTTTTTGACTATTAAACGCAAGTCAAACAGTATTACACCATGTGGCGTCCTTCATTGGGCTCTCTCTGAGAGCACCATCTCCCACAGTACTTCTTTGGACCAAGGAGTTCCCTGACGCTCACACGTTCG